GTTACATGAAAAACACAAACATTGGCCTTGTAAGATTCGACTATTTCTTTGATTAAATGCTAATTTATTTTTTCGCTGCATTATATTTCTAATTTATTGATTAGTTTCATATTTGAGCATGAGGTCGAATCCCAACACAGTGACATTTCGATTTGCAATAATGTTAAAGGCGAAATGGAACCTGTTAGAGGTGTTGATATAAGAGATGATCAGTGTGATGACCTTATATACAATAACCCCATCGCTGGTGAGAACGGGATTTATTCCCTTAAGACATTACTCGATGACAGTTATCAAAAAAGGGAAAATGTAGGGATATCTTGTACATGGCTAATTCCAAGTGCAGAAATGTTCTCTTTCCAAAATATTACCACTGAAGAGTCGATATATGCAAATGATCGCTTATACAAAAGAAGAATTTTTTTCTCAAAGGCCGAGTTGAAATGTGTTTTGAACATGTTGGCTCTAAAAAATCAGTTTCAGATAAGAGTAAAGAGGCCATGTAAAGGTTGTTTTGAGCTTGGTTGCAAGGACAAGGCATGCAAGTTCGGGGTACGTGCAATGAAGCTACCAAAAGGAAAATATTGGCAAATTTGGACGTTCCACAAAGTTACACACGTGCATTATCGATGGTTTACAAGGGTGATTTTGAACTGCAAGTGTGAAGATAATTAGTGAACTTATGTCACACAAGGTTCAAGCTAATGGAGTAGCATTGAGACCTAAGGACATTTGATGAGATGAGGGTTTAGTGGGATTGGAATGCTTGTATGGTAAGGCCTGGCAAGCAAAGAGTGTGCAGAGAGGCTTGTTTTCGATCCCCCAGAGGAGTCATTTCAACTACTACCCTCGTATTTTTATATGTTGGAACAAGAAAATCTGGGCACAGTCATTGCAATGGCTACTGATGAGGCATAAAGATTCAAATATTATTTTTGGTCATATGGGGCTTGTATTTGGAGGTTTAGGGATGTAATGCATCATATGGTTGCAATTAAAGTGACACATTTGAAAGGCAGGTTCAAAGGTATTCTATTTGTCACTATATGCAAAGATGTGAACGATGCGTGTATCTAGTTCCTTTTAGCATAGGCCATGTTGAGATGAAGACTTGTAGATGTGGTTTCTTAGCAAGTTGTGTGATGCGATTAGTTGTCCTAAAAGCACTATGCTCATTTTTGATCAGAATCTCGACATTAAGAAAGCAATCCAAAATGCATACCCAGAAGCGCACCACAGTTTATACGGTTACCACTTGAAGAAAAACTTTTAAAACAAGTTCAAGTGTGATGACATTTCTATGATTTTCAACCTCGCTCGAGATTGTTATACGGTTTTTGATTTCAATAGACATATGAGCTAGCTCAAGTAGATTCATGCAGAAGCCTACTATAACCTTATGAGAATAAGCCTTGAAAGATGGGCACATGCACGTTCGCCGGCAAGGCAATACCAACTCATGACATCCAACATTGCGAAATGTGTTAACTCATGCTTGAAGCATGCAAGACAAATGCTAATCACTGTTTTGATCGATTTCATTAGAGACATGTTCCAGCGTTGGTTCCATGACTGGTATGACTAGGCTGTCAAGGTGACCACATCTTTCAGCCTTTGGGTTGCCAGGTAGTTGAGTAAATGGTTCAATGATGTAGACCATTTTGTAGTTAAACCTATCAATTGGTGTAGTTCGAGGTTAAAGACGGGAAGTGGACGGACTTGTAAACCTAACTAGGATGACATGTTCATGTTGTGAGTTCTAAACAGATTTATTGCCATTGCAACAA